CACTATGATATCACAGTGTCTCTATTTCTAATAGAGACGTTCTCACCAACAAGCTGAATAACTGTTACAATAATTTATCAGTTCTCAAGACTCTTGGGAGTTTCCTCTTTTGTATCATGTATGCTTCGGCCGTCAGCAGAGACTAGTTCGAACCGGTTTCAAACCAAAAGTCAAGCATTTAAAAGCAAGTGTTGGCTGAAGGAACACGGGTGCACCGTCCCACCTGCCTCTCCCTCCCTACCCCAGAGGAGGCCATCCAATGGCTATGCAACTCTAGTACGCAATGGATTCCAGCGTAATGGAAGCCGCATTATTTTCACAGTTCGGAAGCTTCTCCGATGCGAGAAGAAAATCCTTTTTATAGCAATTAAGTTGCCACCGAGAGATTGCACAGTCAGTTGACTCTAAACAGCACTCCTTTTGATTTTACACGCCAACGGCCTAAAAGAGAAAAAAAAATCATGCGAACGAAAAATAATCGTCGTAAATAAGAATCCATGTATCATGCAAAAATTCATACTGTTGTTGTAAGGTCGACGCAAATGGGAGATGGGAGAAATTTCGTAACTTGATAGCTAAGTGTCAATTTTTATCGTTATTTAGGTCTCTTGTAAGGGTAGCGCTCGTTTATTTTTTTTTTCCATAGCTTTAATCGCCTCCGCGACTTGCGTTTTGAAGCTCGCAGAGGTCTTGTTTAATAATAAACGTCCTTTTAGGCCAAAACAAAGACAGATAGTGAAGAAAAAAGGATTTGTACAGTACTTTGAGTAAATATTCCTGACAAGATATTTTTTAAAGAGAATGAACAAGCCTGATTTTTATCCTCTTATAAAAGAACCATACATCAGAGACCTCTAACCAAGTTGGGCGGTTTGGGCCCATAGAATTACAATTCTAATCCAATATCTATGGTGTTATAAATTCTAATTCTATGGTGTGGCCGTGGGCCACTGCACTGTATGGGCTGGTCCTCAGCACCAGGGTACCGGACGCTGAGTATGCGGGCTCTCGTGCAAACTCGAAACTTCAGGTTTTTCACCAGCTTCTCCATTCGCTGTTCACACGAGCTTTTCAGAGTATGTTCACGGCACACATCTGTCCTCCAAGACAACTGGAAAAACACCTTGCAAAATGGACTTTTTCATACTGTAAATGACGGAGGACTCGGACACATCTTCATCCACATTTCTTGTTTAACACACAAAAAAGAGGAAAATATGTAGATTGTGAATGAAAAGCTCTTTTAACGTTAGGAACCTGAGGTGAATCGCTACACATGCGCATCAGAGGACGCGGCGAGGACTTTGCACCTCTGTAGAAATGTTCTTTCTCTCCTGAAACACCTTTCAAAACCTGCTCACTTTTCACCTCCGGCCCTTGTGTCATTGTATGCAGTTGATTTTGTGAACGAAAGCACAGAACGGTGGTGCCACGCGCTCGTCTGTGTGCGAACCTTGTGTGAGGTTGTTTGTGTGTGTGAGTGTGTGTGATTGTTGACAAGAGCGATCTATATTTGTATATTACTACTACTACTCGCCACAGGCTGTGGAAGCAAACACCTCCTCACCTCCCTAAGCTATTTAGCAGTCCTGCAGCATATCACATAGTACATTTAAGTTCTTTTTATTTACACGCATAAACTAATGGTAGATATTTTTTTTTGTTTGTTGGTGTGGTTTGCTTATTTATAGATGCTGTCTTTTACATATTGATGTCTTATATTGTTATACGTGTTCTTTTTTTGTAATGGAAGGGACTATAAAAGGTCAGGTTACATATTTTTAGACTAATAGACTGCCGGCAGTATTGGATTACATTTAAATGATGTACTTTTGATACATGTCTATTGATTAATTCTGAAGATTATCATTTTTTGATTTTTTTTTTCATATATTTTACTCTGTTAGTGAGCTGGATGAACAGTTACTACGTTGACAAAGGAAGCAGAATTATATGTATTGCATTAATGATTTTAATTAGTACGCATTTTAGATGTTTTAACAATTTTAAAAAATGACAATTCAAGATGAATTGCATTTGGCTGTATTCACTCTACAAAGGCAAACCGATTGATGCTCTTGAATTAAGTTTTCAGGTAATTAATTAACCTGCGAACGTTCTGAGATTACGTTTGTTATCGCAATCAAGCTTAGTTGCTACATTGAGCCAGTGAACAACTGGTAGTTAACGTCACTGAAAATAGCTGTTGCTTTGAGCTGCACCTTGAGGAATTGGTCTTTTAGTTTGTTTGTTTTTTTTAAGTAGGAATGAAATTCACTTGATGTCGTTCGGGTGCGTAAAAATTTACGCCGATTAATCTTGGAGAACAACGTCGGTTTAAAACTACCTTTGGCCTTTTTTATATGTGCCAATGAATGATTCAAAATCAAATTAGTCTCTTTAAGGCCTAACGAAAGCACAGAGAGATACTTCATGAACCAATGTTTTTATCAGAATATACGAATACGTCGAAGCCCGTGACTGTTTATCAAACTTTCTCTCCACATCTAACATTGGAGTGCCTTCACTGAAAACTGTTCGCTACTAGAATCGCGTCGTCTTCATTCCAAGTAAGTGATTGGAAATATCGTGTGTCAGATACCACGTTTTAGCAATTTTCGCCAGCAAGTTCAATAATAAGGTCTCATCTAGTCTCAGGTCATAATATTCTGTACTTTTAGGGTGTCTGTATTGTTTTATCTGAGAGAAAACAGCTGTCCCAGGATTCAGGCTTGGTTATGAAAAAACAACAAAGTTTTTACAATGGCAATTTCAATCGGTTAACTCCACATTTATTTGTCCCAAAATGTCGTTTTAATCATTTCTAGGCATTTATTAGATGTTTTATTTTATTTTGTTATTGTGTTGTTGTATTTTAACGGTAAGTTTCCCCCGCGCTGGAGGAAGTTCACAGATGGATTTGGGCATGTGGAAACTCTTAAATGATTTGTAGAATATACTGTAGTGTGGACCAAATTGTCAAAACAGACAAATCAACTTGTAAAGACTCTTTTCCGATCATAAACATGTGATTTCAATTGAAGAAGAAAAAACAACACACATTTAGGAGCACATTCAGATCTGGTCTGTATTAAGGACTTTTATATGTCTGCCACGTTCTCACTGACTGAACCGTAACCGTACTGTTGATATCATGGCATGAAACACTTAGAATAACACTTAGAAACAACGAGTTTCCAGGCGATTCTCAATGCAAGATGTCCAGCACTTTTTCTCTGCTTTTTGCTAATATTTTTCTATGGAAAGTATTGCAGATGACTAAACACATCAACATACGACTGCACAGACAGCACGTTTATATGATTTCTTTAAAAAAAAAGACAAAAAAAGAAAAAAGAAAAACAAAGCAACAAAAAAAATCATCATTATTGATATTACATTGGTAGTCACGAGTAGCATTAATGTAGATATTCGTCCGTAGCTTAGTTCGCTAGTGGTGTCATAATTGTTACCTCGTTTATTCCCTCACACTTACATCACTTCCTGAGACAGTATGTTCTTTCTTCACCTGAGACAGTATGTTCTGAACAGCCACAATTTGTTTCATTGTATCCCAGATGGAGATTTTCTCTCTCTTTGTTTTTAAAGTTGTGTAATTGTGTTACATGTGAGGCGAGCACGACGATTATACATCTGTCTCAGCGAGAGCAACAATTTAACCTAGTTATCATGATTCATTTCGACCAACAATCTATGGAAATGGGATGTCTTGATCACGACATTCAGATCTCTCTCTTTCTCTCTCTCTGTTGTTGCTCTGTATGCTGTAATATGGGTAATATGAAGCCTTGTAATGAAATATGACAGGCAGCTCCCAACACAAGCTGGTATCCTATAGATTCTCCTTAGGTCTCTCAAAGCTCAGGTAGAACCTCGGTTTAGCACAGTCCTTTTGTCCATTAGTTTGTTGGTGACACTTTCCCTCTTACACCTGCTAACGACCGTTGTATGGTTTATTTTTCTATGTGTCATGGTTTTGAACCACAAGATGGAGCTGAATCCTCCATTTTACCTGAATAAAGACTCTTCCACTTTGTTCTCTTGATATGTATTTAGTTCGGTTGGTTTTTCCTTTGTGTATCATCATGTAGTCTTGTATTCTGTTCCCAGCGCTGTTCTAATCCAAAATGAAAAAAGCAATATCACTGTTTGAAATTCATTATATTATTATTATTATTCCTCATAACCACCATAGGTGTATTAACTGAAGTAAATATCTTTTGTACAAACACATTATCACTGTACTCTGCATTTATTTGAGTATTTCTGATGTCAGAAATTTGAACCCATGTTCCAGCAGCCCAGTTCAATCGTAATTTACATGTCTAAATGTTTTATGACTACAACAGTTATATATGCACATGTGTATCTAATATGGGGATGTGTCTTTAAGCACTCAAATGAAACTACAACACAAAAGTCTTAAAAATAAACATTTACTAGAAACACCACACTTCCACACAATCAATGACCGAAGACAAAGTTGCTGAAATATTTTGAATAATTTATTTTTTCCTATCTACATCCACAGAATACATATTCCTCCATGTATTTAAATAACCAGAAGGCACACTTAAATTGCATTGTTGTAATTTCAGCAAATCTCCGTTTCCAGGTTCATCCCAATGTGAGATTGAACCAACAGTTTGTATTAGCAGTCGACATCCTTAACAATTAGCCAATCACAACTCCAGAACTTTTCCATCATTCTTCCAAGTGATTTAGTTACTTTAATTGTCACGTCACAGACGTTTATTTGAACACAATACTTGACAGTTAGTTATTATGAAATTTTTATTGGTAGCTTAGGTGAAGTGAAGCCAGACAAATAATATTAATAAACTGGTAAGTTTTTACCAAGGGTCCTTGTGCAAAATAAAGCCATAAGTGTTTATTAATCCTATTCCTTAGATTTTGAATACAGTTTAACAGATGAGGTAGAGCACACAATTATAGCTACAATGGCACAATTGATAATATATATCATGTGGATATTTTAATGGATATCCTGCCATAATATTAACTTTTCAGGGGGTTGTTGCAACTGTCCGTATGTTAAAAAAAAAAGAAGTAAATGTAAATATCAGAACCATATATTTGTGTGTTGGCTGTTAAAATTTAAGAGATATGCTTCAAGTATCCTGTATCTTAATCACTTGCTAGACTTTAGGCTAATTAAGATTGCCATTGCCATAGCCAGCATTAACCCCACTGTGATCTCCTTCAACCTGCCCAGTTTTACATCTTCAAAGTTCTCCTTCTTCTTCCTGAGTATCTCTTCTCTGCGCTGCCGGAGCTGCTTCTCTCTCTGAAGTTGTTCTCCATAGTGTGATCTGATGAAAGTATCAAAGTCGAAGATGTTTTGCTGGGCGGCTCCAACAGAGGGGGAGTGTCGGCCTCTGGTCTGCTGTCCTGATGTTGGACTCTCTCTACCAGTGGGTTTACTGGATCCCAGCAGGTCTGCTTGACTCAGGATCCCTCGATTGTATTTCCTCCTCAGAGCTTTATTACCCAGGACGTGGTAAGCCTCACTGATCTGAGAGAACATGAACGTGGCCTCCTCGCTCCCTGCATTCTTGTCCGGGTGATATATAAAGGACTGTTTATAGTAAGCAGTCTTAATTTGAGCATGCGTGGCTGTTGGAGAGACTCCCAAAATGTCATAATAACCAGACTTTGATTTGTATAGTGGCCCAGCTCGACTGCCGTTATTTTGCGAGGCACTGTAAGCTCTGGTGAAAGACACAAACTGAGAATTTGCAATTTCATAGAGTCTTTTTATGAAGTTTTCCATGTGTACCCCAACTTGAGCTCTTCCAGGACGGCACGTGCACTGGAGATGCATTAGACTTCAATCCACGACAGGCATTCCATTTACTAATATTTCCAGAGCAGAAGTTCAACGGTACTTTCAAGCTGTGTGTATCTCTACCCGCACCCGTGAAGCGGGTAAAGAGTCTGTTTACATTCTCTTCTGCAGTCTCCAGAACTGCCGGGCTGGTTTCACACAGTCCTTTAACAGCGCGGACACGGTCATTTCGAGTCTCACGGAACTGTAGTGAATTGTGTAGAGTTAAAGCTGCAACATAAGCTGCCTGTGAGACGGGTTTACAGTCTTTACCCAAAAGCGGGAGATTTTGCGGTTTTAAACGCTTGTAAGCTTCTCTCCCGAACCGGTGTCTGACCTCCGCCATTGCGCAGAGATCACCTACAACAACCGTCATCTGTTTCCGTGAACAGCAAAGTGACCAATTAGATTTGCCCTTCTTTTCAGGTTGAGTGAAATTTGGCCAATGCCGTGCGAGAAGAATATTTCCATGAAAGAGATTGGTGGAGCGTTTAGGTTGTTGTTACATCATAATCATTAGACTGTAGGATTTGGGTCATTCTTACAATTCAATTTTTAAAATGAAACACAGTTTTTGTTATTGATTAATTTATATTCATTCATAAATTATTTATTTATTCATTAAATAGTATAGGTCAAAGTATCACGACATAAAGTGGACAGTAACTCTAACTATCAGTATTATTACTTCAAATTAATCACTAAAATATGTTTTTAGATAATGTAACCATAGACATTTAATTTTAATGAAAAAAATTATTTCAGCTGCTCTGTGGGCACGAGAGAATGACCGTAGACCAATAAATCAAAATGATTTCAATGGGTAGAATTTTAAGGGCCCTAATAAAATTCTATTCCGTAGAAATTTAACATTAAAAAATGTTATTAAATGTATTGGGGACACATACAAAAGCACTTAATTTATCCTGGTAATGCACTGCTTCCTAAATTCAATTCAATTCACTTTTATTTAGTGCTTTTCACAATATAGTTTTAAAGCAGCTTTAGATGCATGTGTATATTACAATTCAGTGTGTTATCAGAGGTGACTGTTTACAAATAATGTATTTCAGCAATGTACATAGCCTATACAAATCACACAGTTAGCTAACATCCCCCCAGTTCCACAGACAATTCTTAAGTCTGCTAAAATGCATGTTTGAGCTGTTTTAACTGAAAAACAATGGCTTTGTCTCAAGAAGTCAAGATGGACACCAGTAATGTTTTTTTTTTTCTTTCTTTCTAAGGCATGTACATAAAAGCTAGTCCTGGCTTAATTTAAGCCCTGTCTGTGAAACCAGGCCAATTATGTATTCATTTAGGCAAACACTATGAGCTTACTGAAGTAATTACAAGTTGTGAACATAATGATTACAATATAGAATTTAGCATTGGTGCATGTTGATTCAGAGGTTGCGTCATCTGAAGTCCTCGCAGGAGTTGGAGTCATCTCTTCACAGGTTTTGTGGCATCTGAAACTTCGTAGACGAGGCTGGATCCTAAATGGAGCTGGGCAGCTGGCATACCCTCTAGTTACATCAGAACAGAAACAGAAAATAATTAGTGTTAGCACTGTTCATAACATTAAGCAAAGATAATCATGTGCATTCGATCTGATATAACTGAAGTACAAGGTTATGAGATGTATTATGTGAATGCTTGGCTAAATAGATGTGTCTTTAGGGTCGATTTAAACTGGGCTAGTGTGTCTGAGCTACAAACATCATCAGGAAGGCTATGCCAGAGTTTAGGAGCCAAATACGTAAATGCTCTCTCTCATTTAGTGGACTTATATATCCTAGGTAGCCTACAACCAAAAGTCCAGAATTTTCCTTTTTTTACCTTAAAGAGCGTGGTGGATTCATAAACATGAATAAAAATTAATAACATATATATATATATATATATATAGTGTGTGTGTGTATTTTATATAACTAATTTAAACTCTGCCCTACATAAAAGTGAAGCTTGATGAACTACGTGTACACAAGTTACGCACGTTTGTAAATCTCTATGTTTACGCCTGTAACGGAGTACACAGCATGGTACACAGCTGAAAACATTCCAGTCGTGCGCTGTCACCTACGCAAATTGCGTACGTGCTTTACCGAGCACAAGAGCAGTCTCACATCCACCTGATCAGCCTGTAGACCACGCCTCTCGCGCGGGGTGTGCAGTGCTACCCTGCCGTCCTCCAGCCCTCCTGTACACAGACCTGGACATCATAACAATCGCTGACAGTCTACGTGTGGGCCTGAATCTAAACTATTATCAAACCTGCTGTGGTGTGGTGTGTGCATGCAGCATAATGGAGCAGGCGAAACAAACGGAGAACCGCCTCCGCTTTCCTTTAGCGCAGCAGCTCCGCTCCAAATGGCAACATCACGGGTGAGGAGGTTCGCGCAGGAGGGGCGGACGGTCCCTCCTCAGCCGAGAGTGATGGTGGTGTTTTCGCCTGCGAGTGACACTGAAAATCAGGGAGATGCGATGTCTGGCGCGGACATCGGGGAAGAGGAGTATCGCAAACCAGTCATACCTGTCCCTAATCTTAACCTAGGGAAGTCCCTTCGCACCTTAGACGCACCTGAGGAGGTAAGTCCCCGAGGTTTAAAGAGGATGTGCTATTATTATCGTCACGGAGTAGTTTGTTGTACTAAAAGTGTGATTTATGAAATGTCCACTATCATCTGCGTTTTCCCCAATGTGATTCTTTTTCCAAAATGTATCTGGAGGAACAGTGTACTTTCCCAGCGTTTTGCGTTTAATCATAACCGTTTCCATAGGCAACAGATGTATTGAGTGTGTTTGCTTCCCGATGACTGCAATCTGATTGGTCCTTTATCCCAGTGGGGCGGGTGAACGTCGCCTTTGATTGGTTCACTTCACATGTCAATCAAATCATATCAACTGGATTAAACTAATCGCGTTTTGCAGACTGCTGATAAACGCTTAGTCCAACACCCGGGTTTTAAAATAATTTAAACATTTAACAGCATTTTAGTAGGTAATGTTTCAAAAGTTCAGAAGATGCTAAAGATACACGTCTCAGTCCTGGTGCATAATGATTACCCTCATTACAGTGAAATATGTTATATGCACTATCTGTTTTTGAAAGTAATGTATACTGAATTGATTAAAACAAGTAAATACATTTATAATATTACGAAACATTTCTATTTGAAACCAATTCTGTTCTTTTAAACTTTCTATTTATCAAAGAATCCTGAACAAAGGTATCCCATTTTTCACAAAAATATTAAGCAGCACAACTGTTTTCAACATTAATAATAATGTGACACTTAAGACTGATGAAATGTCTTTGCCATCACAGAAATAAGTTACATTCTAAAAGTTATTAAAATAGATAACAGTAATTTTAAATTGTAATTCTGTTTCACATTATTCTTTTTACTGTATTAATGCAGCCTTGATGACCATTAGAGACTTCTTTCAAAACCAAACTTTGAGATGTTGTGTATATTCAGACTAATGTAAAAGGATATTTTTGTTACTTCTCTCTCCCTCTCCATAGTTCCCCGAGGTCATCCCCCTGAATGTAGGAGGAACATATTTCACCACTCGGCTGTCCACTCTGCGACGTTATGAGGACACTATGCTGGCCGCCATGTTTAGTGGCCGCCACCACATTCCCCGGGATGCAGAGGGACGATATTTCATCGACCGAGATGGAGCATATTTTGGGTTAGTGTTTAGTTTAGTGAATATCTGATTATGTTTAGAGCCTAGTACCCAAAAATACAAAGCAAACATTATGATTATCTGAATTTAGCTTTTGTTTTTATTATTTCATCAGTGGAGGACTTAAATAACTGCTCGATATCCAGTTTAAAATCGCATGCTTATTAGAAGTGCTTATATATACACTTCTCTGGCTTTAGGGATATTCTGAATTTCTTGCGAGAAGGTGAGCTGCCTCAGAGGGACCGTGTTCGTGCGGTGCACAGAGAAGCTCAGTATTATGCTATTGGGCCTCTTTTGGAAAGCCTGGAAGACACGCAGCCACTTACCGGAGAGAAAGTGCGACAGGCTTTTCTTGATCTCTTGCCCTATTATAAAGGTAAAATAAAATAATTAGGGGTGTAACAATACACTCATGTCACGATTCGGTTCGATACACGATAATTATCTCACGATACGGTACTCTCACGATACTCTGAACAAAGCCAGAGTAAAAATAGTATTTTTTTTTATTATTACTTGTAGCACATATGGTATACGGCGATCGCAAACAGACCGACTGAGGGGAGCCCCGCTTTCTCTAACTCGCACTGGGCCCCGCCCCTTGCTTGGCATGGCCCTGGTCATTACCATAAATTTCAACTTTTATTTTGGGTGAACTATACATAAACATATAGTGACAACTATCCACAATGCATGCTGCTTTTTTGTATTGCGATGATAAAATATATTGTTACACCCCTAAAAATTATACAGAAAATGAATAAAAAAGTTGTTTTCATTTAACTAAACATTGTTCCATTTTGCTCCAGAAAATCTTGAGCGCATTGTGGAGATCGCAAAACTTCGTGCCATGCAGCGGAAGGCTCGCTTTGCGAAACTAAAGATCTGCGTGTACAAGGAGGAGATGCCCATCACCCCTTATGAAAGACCGCTGTTCAATTCGCTGCGATTTGAGCGTTCAGAGAGTGAGGCCAAGCTGTTTGAGCACCATTGTGAGGTTGACGTGTCCTTTGGGCCCTGGGAGGCAGTGGCTGATGTTTATGACCTTCTTCACTGCATAGTGAGCGACCTGGCAGATCGTGGCATCTCTGCTGACCAGCAATGCATCGGCGTGTGTGACAAACACCTCATCAACCACTACTACTGCAAAAGGCCCATCTATGAGTTTAAAATCACCTGGTGGTGAAGGTGAAGTGTTTTAGTAGGTGTTTTGCCAAGAACTGAGCTCTACAAGGTCTGAGCAAGTGATGTTTGCTGCTGTCTACGGTTACAATGAACCAGCAAGATCATGGAATCTTTCTCGAAATGAATGGAAATAATAATGACAAGCTTTTGAATAAGATGGCTGTTATTATGACAGTTGCTCTTTTGTTTCTTCATGAAACTGCAATTTGCAACCCAAAAGTTTCTTTATGGGCAGCTCTATCGATTCTTTAGTTTTTGTAAGTGATCGTTTAACTTAGTTTCTTTAGAATAAAGCCGGAATTGTTCCCTCCAGTTGTTGTTTTAAAGGGGTTTCCTGGAATCGACCTCAGAGGAAGTGAATTTATGTGAAACAGTGTTTTCTGTTTTAATTATTACGACATCTCTGCAAAGTACGCTTTTGTGTTAGGTGTAATGAATGTATTAAGAGTTTGATCAAAGAATCAATCAGCTGGACTCACATTGGGAAATTGGACGTTTGTTATTGCTTGTGATGTATTTCTTAAGAAGGAACCCTTTTTTTCCCTACAGTATTTTAAAATGATTTTACCCTATTTGTTTAACTTCATTTATATATGTAGGACCTTACCTGGATTATGTTGCCAGTGATGACAAGCACTATCATGCAGATATTGACTTTAACTAATACAAAGGTCTCATCTGGTATTTACAGCCACCCAAAGCTTCACATAAAGCCTTCTAAAATAACCATACACCACTAGACAAGCATACAATTATTGATTTATGTAAAATAAAAACCTTCTTAAAAATGTATTTTTAAGAATAAGTTTACGTACGTACTACATTGAATATGACATGTCCTGAATATGAATCAAAAGAAGTATATATTTAAAATTGTTCTTAAAGACTGTTAGCCAGGTTAGATTGCCTATTTTGCTATACTTTGACTTTGAAATTATTTTCTGCTGCCAATAGCTTTTGTCCAGGCTTTTAATTTCCATAACTCTCAACAATTGCATATGATTTAGCAGTATTTGTTAATTGAATCATCTGAAACCTCTGTCCCTCACTGGTTTGCTGTGAGAGCTGTGAAGGCCACATGAAGTTGCATGAGCTCTCTGTGTTTTGGCAGCAGAATATCTAATACGAGATAAAAATGCATCTGATAATCCTAACTGGGCTTTATTTTCAGTCTTGCCCAGTTTACTTTATGTTGCTTATTTATTACCCGATGCATATTTGGTCTCTGTTGTACATTTGGTGAATACTGTTGTTTGAATTGCATTATTGTACTGGCTCTTATTGTGCTGATAATAAACCATATATTTTGCAATTTTTTAGAAACAGGGCATTTTTCATTTGGAACGTTTATAATAATGCTTAATTTATCAGATTGGAAAACGAAAGTACAAAAGGTGATGAAATACTTTGATGTATGCACTGTATTTCTACTAGGGACTGTTGACATTTGGAGCTCAGCCCATCTATAGCCCCGCCCCGCCCACACAACGCATACCACCAGTCGCGAGGATATGATGTCATTGTGACCCGGAGACGAGACCGCTGACGAGGTATCTGTCGCTGACGCTGTCCGGTAGATTGACATTGCACACGAAAACTAGCTGTTTTTCTTGAAAATGTTTTGTTTAATGTAGTTTAGACGGAATTATACATATTTATCTTATATCCTGCTGAGCGTGAGTTATTGCGTTTGTTTTTTACCGGCGTAACGTTAGCAGTTTTGCTAGCTTGACGTGTTTGCCTGCCGCGAATTGAATTGCATTCAATGTTATTTTCAGTTGACGATATATTTTCTAAGTTGATTTTAAACTCCCCATTACACATTTAATAAATGTTTAGTTAGCACTGAAAATAAGCTACAGTCCCCGGCACTGAACGAACGATGTCAGTATGTGATGTAATACTCGGAGTTTAATGTTATGTCATCCGTGTTGATCAGAGTGTTTGTGTTTTCAACCCTTTATTTAATTAAAACTATAAAGAAACGAGATCAAACATGGTTGAACTACTTAGTTTTTTATTTCGATTGAGATGCAGTTGTTTGAATTGGTTGTTTGACATCAGGTCTCATTCGCATTTTAATTTATATATATATATAACGTTATATATATTACGCTTTAGCGCGAAAATATCAATGTACGTGTGATTATCTGATATTCACATTAGTTTCACTTTCAGCTCTGCTCAGATTATTGAAATGACTCATCTTGTCTCGTTTTTAGCAATGTTGACATCTGTGGTATGTTCTGCATGAGTTGCATGTCTGTTGTCTTGCTGCATGTACTGCAGACAGGATATGCAAATTCAAACCTGTTTCTTTACCTAGACAAAAGAGACACAATGAGTCAGCGCTCGGAGCGACGGGGGATCCATGTGGACCAATCAGAACTGCTGTGTAAGAAAGGCTGCGGTTACTTTGGCAATGCTGCCTGGCAGGGCCTGTGCTCCAAGTGCTGGAGGGAGGAATACCAGAGAGCCCGGCAGAGACAGATCCAGGAGGACTGGGCTCTGGCGGAGAAGTGAGTTGGACATGCTGCTTATGAAACTCTCATGCAGGTGGAATTAAACTCTAGTGCTTGTGTTTTGTTAGTTCACGCATTAAGTATTAAGTAAAAGAATCATTCTACGTCATCATGAGATAGATTCATAAAGCAAAAAATGATGTTCAGACAGACTAATGTAAGGATGTGCTTCCTGTCGCAGGCTGCAACGAGAAGAGGAGGCGGCTTATGTCAGCAGTCACAGTTCCTCTCAGACCCAGCCTCCACAGTCCCACTCTCAGCCCTCTCTCGCCACCTTCTCCAAGTTTGAGGAGAAGAAAACCAATGAGAAAACCCGCAAGGTCACCACCGTGAAGAAGTTCTTCAGCCCCTCCTCCCGCACGGCACCTAAAAAAGGTACGAGGAGGGTGGGATTGGAGCGATACGAGTGTGATTATTGTTGTTTTGCAGTAGGAGTCATCAGCTGATGACCAGCAGTGGGTGTGGCTTGTGGATTCGATTTGGTGTTGTTCGTCTGCAACTGACAAAATTAATATCTGCTCTTGATAAAATATGCCTTAGGAATATTATCATTGGTTGGACAAGGAAAAACTGGTTTAAAATACAGTGGAGCTGAGTCAGTGCTGTAGATTTTTCCTTTCTTTGCCACTTTTCCCCTAGAGTCCAAAAAAAAAAAAATCGCACTTTTGCTTCTAGATTCCTTCTGGATTCCGTATGCAAATTACTTCCCTCATCATCATACATAGTTCCATTTTGATTTTACCATGTCATTAGATGACATCTCTCTGATAAAGCCATAAACTGCCTGCATGCAACATCCAAACAGCAATTTGGAACTTATACTAGTTTAATACTAGTTTATTAGACATAAATGATTGTAATTAAAAGGCTTTATCATTGAAACGTCAAGTTTACACTACCGTTCAAAATCTTGGGGTCAGTAAGAATTACGTTTTTTTAGTTAATCTAATGTTTTTGAAAGAAGTAATTTGATCAAAAATACAGTAAAAACTGTAATGGTAAAATATTATTACAATTTACAATAACTGTTTTCTATTTGAATATATTTAAAAATTGTATTTTTTCCTCTGATGGCAAAGCTTGATTTTCTCAGCATCATTACTCCAGTCTTCAGTGTCACATGACATGATCCTTCAGAATTCATTCTAATATGCTGATTTGCTGCTCAAGAAAATTTATTTGAACAGCATTTATTTGAAATATAAATCTTTTGTAACATTAAAAATGTCACTTTTTATAAATTTAACGGATCCTTTGAGAATAAAACTATTCTTTTCTTTCTTAAAAAAATATATTACTGACCCTAAACTTTTAAACATTAGTGTAATAAATCTTTTCATGATTTGATGCATTTATGTTCATTTGTGATCACATGATTTTATCATTTGTCTATCATGTTTTTAAGAGATGATTTTATTTCAACAAGTGATCCACCCTTCATCTCTCAGCTTTTCTCGTTGCTGTTCTGCCGTTCTGTCTGATCTCCGCCCCATCTCTCCCACATTTTCTCTATCTTTTTCACGTTCTCATCTGAAACTCCTATGGTGCCCCCCCCCCCATTTCACCCCCCCCATTTTTATGTCGCCCGTTTCCTACCCTGGGTGTTTTATTCCCCCCTGAAAAAGAAAGCGAGAAACGAGAGAAAGAGAAAGAGGAGAAGTTGCAGGGCAGGAGGGAGAGCCATGGAGAAACCCTCCTGAGGGATCTGAGGGGCATTTTTACCCAACCCTGGGATATGGGCTCCCCCACTGAAGGTAACCGACAGAGCCTGAAGAAAGATCTGGGGTAATGAAAAGGAAACGTGGGTGGAGATTGCAGTGTTTGTCTTTTCTGAGGTGGACCACCCCGTTTTGGTGTGTTCTGTGTTGAAGAGGTTGCTGTTTAAAAGTGTCTTTACTAAAAGTATTTCACAAAGTACAACAAACATTTCAGAGTTCAGATTTCATTTTAACATTTTATGTTCCCCTCTGATGTTCTTTGTGACATACTGCCCTGATCCATACTGTGTATTTGTTCATTTCTCTATGTTACTTGTGTGTGCGTCAAAAGACATGATTTCACCCTACCATTTTTTTTGTAATGTTCACTCTCATTGTCATGCGTCCTCCTCTTTTCTTGTCAATCTGGTGGCAGCTCTGGTATCGAGGCTGAGAGGTGGGTATTAGTGCCGGATCACTGTAGCCCTCCAGCACAAATCACAGAAAACAAACCAGTGCATCATTGTTGTGTATATATATGAGCTGCATGCATTTAGGCTGAAATTCTTCTAACACTCCATTACTGTCAATGGGGCGTTCAGAAATACAGGTGCAACAGCATTTGGTGCGTCTGTTTGTGTAGTGTTTATTTAAAGCATGCTTGTACCAGAATTCTCTCTGTTCATTCAGCTACTCTATTACCATCTTTGACTCTGGTCTGATGTCAAAGCTGTTGGCATGGTAACAGATCAATATTTTAGTGGTATGGCCTACTTTTGAGAAGGTTTTTCTCTCCCTTTATGGGCTACAAGTTGATTTGGACTTGTGAAAATATATATATATATATTATGACATTTTACATTGGTTTATTCAGTAGAGTTTTTCTTTATTCTTTGCAGAAAGTCATGTCTAATTCAGCCTTTATAACTTAACTAATCTGTTGATTTTTGAAGACATTTGGCTACACATTGGACTTTGATTGTTGTAGAATGATGGGAAATTACTTAATTTCACATGACATTCTGCAGTGAAAACTGACTCTGCTGAACTTCCATTTTCATCCGATCCATTTTAATATCCACTTTATGTTCATACAGTTTGTTTGTAAACATACTGTGCGCTTATTTCTGTTCCTCAGAGAGCCACGAGGGGAAAACGCCCAGTCCTTCCATTACCCGTCAGTCCAGCATCGAGACCGATCGTGCGTCACAAGACTTCTTGGAGTTCCTCAAGACCTTGCAGAAGCCCGGCAGAGAGATCCAAAAGCAGAGCCGCGCATTCATAGACAGCATGGGAAATAAAAAGGTCAGAACCAGGGTCACATGCCCACACCAACTTTTAGCTGTTAATCATATCAATAAGCATATTTCTTTTTTGTATTTGTTCGGATATGCAGGATCTTAGTGCTGAAGAACTGTCCGAGTGTGTGCAGGACTTCTATCAGGGCATGTCTGACCGACTCTTGAATCATTATAAAGGTAGGATTCATTCTTCAGAGAAACCTAGCAGTGCTAAATCTGTCTAAAAAGACTCAAGTCACTGGTTTGAATCACTCGAATTGCTCACTGAATCCATTTGAGTGACTACCGAATCTGATTCACTTACTGACCGGATGTTTTTTTGTAATCGTATTTGAGAGAAGATATTATCTAAAAATTTTGTATGTACTGGCGGAGGCAGAATTATTTAGAAAGCGGGAAATATTTACAAAATGGAACCTCTTCATCTTCAAAAGATTTTTAATGAAATAAGACCAGATCTAGTTTTAGAATTTGTATCTAAGATAAAATAAAAATTGTAATCATTCCTTTTTAATCTCTTTCTCGCTACGAATTTAGCCGAGGTAGCTGGCATGGCGTTAAACTATAAACAAACAAACATTCATATTTAGACTTCACTTTTAATGGTTTGAATTTTTTTCCAGAAGTCAGATGAATGCCTCCTTTACAGATATAAACCTCAGTGTGTTCCTCTTTCCTCAGGCTCCTCTGAGAAGGTGGACAGGGTGATGGACCAAGTGGAAAAATACATCATGACACGACTCTACAAGAGCGTCTTCTGCCCAGAGACCTCAGATGATGAGAAAAAAGACCTGGTCACCCAGCGCAGGATTCGGTCAGCCAGTGTTATTGATATATTATTATAGTATTTCTTTTTAACATTTGAAATAAGCTTTTATTTTAATATTTTTCAGTTTTCATTTTTTGTTTAGGTTTTTGTAATTTTAGTACTTCAGCTCACTTTTATTTCAGTTAGTTACGAAGGCAACATTTCTAATTTCCATTTAAGTTTTACATCTAATGTTTATTTATTTAGTCACAGTTTTATTTAAATGAACAAACTATTTTTAATCGTTTTGTTTTTAGTTAACAATAACAACATTGGTAAATGCTTCATATCATTGTTAACTTCCTTGAAAGTTAAAGAATGCATATTCCTCAGGAAAGTACAGTATAATGCTTTTACGGCATTCTCCTTAAAAATCTGCAGTCTTGATTAGCTCCTTGAAAAATGGTTGGCTGGTTTTTCAGGGCCTTACATTGGGTAACCATCCAGATGTTGTGTGTTCCTGTGGACGAGGAGATCCCAGAAGTCTCTGATAGTGTAGTCAAAGCCATCACGGGTGAGTCTGCAAAGCTTGGTATTATTTTGTCCTTTATTTGCTGTTTTCCATCAGAATACAGATTTTATTTTGTCTATCACAGATGTTATTGAGATGGATTCTAAGCGTGTGCCCAGGGATAAACTGGCTTTCATCACCAGTTGCAGCAAGCATATCTTCAACGCCATCAGGGTCACCAAGAACGAGCCAGCTTCTGCAGATGACTTCCTACCCACCCTCATCTATATCGTGTTGAAGGCCAACCCGCCACGGCTGCAGTCCAACATTCAGTACATCACACGTTTCTGCAACCCCTCAAGGCTCATGACAGGAGAGGATGGATACTACTTCACTAATCTGGTGGGTCTACACATAATTTGAATGTGGCCATAATTTGGCATTATTTAATTTTTGTGGAATAATTTGGTTCAAAACTACTTTTTTCTTTAAAATATATGCCACATAGTTTGATATCTAATGCAATGAAATTAATAAAAAAAAATTAACTGGCAAAAAGTGTCAGGCTGAAATTTGCAGGCTGATTAGTCAGACGGCATTTGGGAATAAACCTTCCTGTTTAGTCTTGTCTAGTCTTTTGGATTCATGTATTTTCTTTGCAATTTTTCATTGTATCTTTTCAATTTCACCTTCATCACGTGTTCCCTGCAGTGCTGTGCCGTTGCCTTCATAGAGAAGCTGGATGCCCACTCCTTGAATCTCAGCCCTGAGGACTTTGAACGCTACATGTCCGGTCAGGCTTCCCCTCGAAGGCAAGACGATCCTGCAGCCTGGCTCCAGAGTGGTTCCCGTTTCAATCCAGCACTTAGCCAGATCCATCAAAATCTCAGCGTCCTATCCAACCTTGAGAAAAGACAGCAGCAGGTCATAGAGGGGGCGCAGAGCCTGCAGACCGAACTGGCAGAATGGCAGGACAGCGTGGCCCGCGAGGTGCAGGAGATCCTGGAGCGATACCCACTTGAGATCAAATCACGAGCATCCGCAATCGATGCGGAGAACGTGGAGAACGACAGGCTGCCACCCCCCCTTCAGCCGCAAGTGTTTGCGGGTTAGCATAGCATAGTTTCCTGTGTGAATAAGCCAGAGACATGGTCGTACCAAGACGGGTAAAGCATGTTTTTATATGCAATGGATGCTCTCGTCCAAGATCTCTGCTCCTTTTCTTCCCATAGTTGGGCTGTTACCATTCCATATGCTTTTTAAATGCTTACACAGTCACCCGTTACATCTTTTCTGCAAACATATTCTTGTCAGACTACTTTTGTGCTGCTGATTCAAAAACTAAATATGATTTTCTAACCTGGTTTTAGAAGATCTGTTAGTAGTGTGATGTACCTTAATGCATGAGCTGTTTTAAATTACTGAATCAAATAGCTGCTAATACGTCCTTTAATATGATTGCAAATTTGATGTGATCGTAAACCACATATCAGCTTTTCTCATGTAGATAATTAATGTTCACTGTAGGGTTTCAACCTTATGCCTTAGTGTGATGTTCTCCTGGATGAAGGTCTTTTTTTATTGATGTATAAAATGTTTTGTCGCTCATACTGTATACTTAAGAAATTTAAAGTTGAATCCCATGCAAAGATTTATGATTTTAGGAGAATTTGTGTATTTTGGTACGTTTCGAAGATGGTCATTCTTAAATGTTTATTCACATAATTGATGGGATATGTTGTGCAGACATTTCAGCAATAAACACTATTTACATAGGAATTTGTGTACTTACAAATGAAAATATTGGTATAAAGCTGTGCATTTGCTCACCTAAAATGAATGTGCAATTCTGTCATGGTGGCCACAGGTTGTACACAAATAACTACTCCTTCTCCAGCCAGGATAATGTTTTGAATTTGATGTTGTCAGCATTCCACATAACCAATTTAATCGTGATCCTGTTGTTACTTTTAAAACTACCCCAGCTGTAACTGTAACAGGTACTTAATTAGCAAAACACTATATTCATGTGGAAATAATTGGTTTCATTTACAGTAATGATGTTGATTTATGACTTTGTGATATTTTTAACTGAGCTGCTTTATTTATGATGTAAATATAACCTGAGGTGTGTCATTTTGCTGTCTGTGAATGATTATTTATCACTTTGTAGCACCATAATATTTTAGCATAGCACAATGCTGACATCTGATTGTAGAAATGGTCAGCATAGAAAATAAATCTTTTTTTCGCCATGTTTTTAACCCCTATCGCTGACAATATTTGGAAAACCATGTACCTTTCTTTTGTACCGAAGCATACTCTAAATGTGTGTAAAGTTGAGTACTGTAACGGTGCTGTATTTATGCATGGTAAGTGAGGTTCTAGTGCTCCTGACTCTGAAATGAGTTGATTTGTGTCTCATTGGGTATAGCCTGAATCTAACTGTTTAATTTGCACGTTCATAAGGGACTTGGAAAATGGTTCATTTAATGAGCCATCAGATCCATAACAGATCTGTAGCCCCACCAAACCCGAGTCTCGTACGATGGTTCCACTGCACCTGCTGCAGGCCTCCAGAGCTTCTCAGTATAGAATGTAGGTCGACTCGGCGTCTCTCTGGAGAGTTATACACTTCAAGTGATTTCTTCACTCTACATTTACCCTCATTATTCAGTCAATATCTAACAATTTATGTTTGGTTATTTTAAGCATTGATATAACGTGATGTATGAGTTATTCGTAAATTGCCGGGAAAAAGCCATTTATGGCATAACACCTAAACTTTATTAGTTTGACCTGCTTCAACTTTTACTGTTACCCTAGAAAACAAGTACATGCGGGCATCAATTTGATATAAGTTTCTAAATGTGATACACCAGTTACGTATTTAGTTACAAAAACGGTTAAAAGGACACAGGCGAAACTGAATAGTCATGAATAAAATATTTGATGTTGGCGCTTTTGAGTGGGCGTGCAAATTCTCCAAATACACCGCCCACTTCATATGCTAGTTTGTAATTGGTTAATGCTAATGTCATCGGCTACCAACAGTGAATACGATTGGTGGATACGGTCTCCCATGGTGACTGACACGGTCTCCCATGGTGACTGACATTGACATATAGGCGCTACATTCGCTGCTTTCTGCTAGTCCATAAACAAGCAGTCTGATGCTGCAATACTTGTTCATAAAACACTAAATTAATAGCGTTTGATGTAGACAGTCGGATTGACGGATCTGAGTGCAACATTAAAAGGTAATTGCATTTTGATGGATGCGAGGTTTTTCTACATGGGTAACAGAGTTTTGAGCAACCCTTCTAGCTAACTTGCTAATATATGCTAACCTGTGCTACATCACCTGCTAGAATGTATTGTGTATTTGCGCTAATATTTTATTTGAACAGGTTATCAGTCGTTTCTTGTCCTCTCTGCATTGGTATTGAGTTGTATGCTCGCGCATGAAGATTATTATTATATTATTATTATTTTTCTTCTTCTTTTTTTTTTTTTGGTGAATGTGCTCCATTATTATCTCAGTTATTATTATTATCCAGATATATTTAATAGATGACAGCGTTTGTTATTAGTTGAACTGGTCATTGTATTGACCGTCTATGGATTATTTGATTTTTAAAGTCAACCCTGACCACTGAAAGCTTGTATTTGATGATATGTTATGTTAATATGTTCTTTTATAACACCATAAAGGCCTCCAGTTGATGTTGGCAGATGTGTCCTGCAGCATTTTGGCAGTTCATTCAATGTTCTGTGTTTATTTCATAATGTGTTTTGGCCATCTACGGTCATACAGTAAAGCTCATACAGATGCATGACTTGTGCCACTTGTCACATCAGTTCTGCTTTGCCAGACATATTTATAGTAATTGGGAAAATTCTGAAGACTATGTGCAACTGTGCATGATACTACTGCTATAGTCTTCAATAATGAAATGTGAGCATCTAAATGGGCTCTGCTGTCTGTTTTTACCTCAGTGAAAGCACCAGGATTCTCCTGTCAGATATATTTGGCTGTCAGAAATCAAACTGGCAGAGATGGATGAGCAGAGTGTTGAGGTATGTTTACTGTGTGTGTGTGTGTGTCTGTGTGTGTGTGTTTTATACTAAAAGGCACCAAGTAAAAAAAAAAAAATATATATATATATATATATATAGATCAGAGACAAAAACTTGACATGGAACATTAAATTGAACTTTTACCGAAACATGAAAAGTCTGTCACTATTTACTCACCCTTATGTAAACAACTTTCCTTCTTCATTCGAACACAAAATGTGAATCTATTAGGAATGTTCTAAACACTTTTGTCAAAATTACAAAACTGACTCAGAACTCCCAAATTCAATTCAAGTTGATTTGTATAGCAAGTTTTGCAGTGGATATTGTTTCAAAGCAGCTTCTTTCAATGTTACAATTTAGGAAGTATTTTGTATCAGCCAGAGATGAGTGTATGAAAGTAATGTCCATATGGCAGTAATGCACAGCTATAATATAATATGTTATGTGGATAGTTAACGTCGTATATTCAGTTAAGTAGACACAGCAACTTTGTTAGGCTGCAATTATAACTTGTGATAGTAATGATTATAATATAAACATAATATTACAATTAAGGGTAATATTTGATAGTTTTGTATGTCAATCCACAATTGCTGTCATCTGAAGTCTAGAGGTAGAAGAAGAATTAGTGTAGCTGCTGTTCATAGCATTTTAGGCAGAAGATGATCATGATTATGATCATTTTTCATACTGGTGTGATGAATTCGATCTTCAAGCAAAAAGAACTGGATGAAATATTTGAATGCTACCGATCCACAATCTGACTTCTGACTTGTGATGCAGCCTGAATCATAATCATAATCACACGAGTTCGTTCGTTGGCCAGAGCGCCATTCTGTTACCTGGTGATGGAGTTTGGGTTTCTCGCTACTGTCGCCTCTGGCTTGCTTAGTTGAGGACATTTAATATTCAGAAATATTAGTGATTTGACTGCATTGACACTTTTGGATGAGAACTGAATTGAGCTGGACTATTACATCGCTGGACTATTACATCACTGAACTGACTTCAGCTGAACACTATTTTCTTTTAGAGCTGCTGTACAGCCGAAATGAACTCTGTTTGTATCATTGAATTATTTTCCTATTATCACTGTAAAGCTGCTTTTGATGCTTTATGTAAATAAAGGTGACTTGACTTGAAGATCGTACTATTTTATCAGAAATAATGATAGCTAGTTTGTGAGAAGCAGCAAATTACAACAAAAAAAAACTTAGTGTAATGAAAGTGATCTTTAAGATTTGTCGGTTATATTACAAGTTGGAAGCACATCAAAGAAAAAAACTATGTGAGGGTGAGTAAATAGGCTAAAGACAGAATATTCATTTCTGGCCAAACTTTTCCTTTAAGAACATAAACTAAGTATATTGTGGTAAATATATTGTTAGTGTTACGTCATGTGTTCATGTATCAACTAACAAGAACAAGAAGCTCATTACATGTTGTTCAAAAGTTGACAGAAAACTTTCCCTCTTAATGCGCAGTACACATTGTACGATTTTGGGCTGTCCGAAAGATGACCAATTGTGGTGATTTCATTGGCCGTGGCTCCTAAACGGTGGTCCTACGTCGTACAGTGAGAGAGGTTCAAAGACGGCTGTTGTCACGGTCTTACAACCAAAGATAGCAATAGATGACATTGTCAGAAATTTAGCATGATCATCTCACAGTGTGTTTGCTGCTACAACCTACGTCTACTAACTAGCCAATAAACATGTAACATGATTACATGAAATGTCGTATTGATCAATGCGACATGGCGCTAAAACTTAAAACTACTTACCTCCATTTGCAAAATTGGCATGACAAGATGGCCTCTTTTCCCTAGCCATGAACATGTCCATATTCTTCTCTTTCGCTTCCTCCTCTTTTTTTATTGCCGCGGATAAAAAACACAATTCCCAAAGTGCGATTCATCTTACTCTATTTGTTTACCACTAGTGCATGCTGATGACGTTTTATTCTTCTATAACTTACGTCGTAGCCTACGATACAATAGGTGTCATCATCACACAGTCTACATACGTCATACCCAAGTTTATTAGATGATTTGTAATGATCTTATAGGATTGCTGAAAGCAGGCATAAGTTTGTCTGAATTGCCTTTTTCTCTTGCGTCCCACTTCAGAGTATTGCGGAAGTCTTCCGCTGCTTCATTTGCATGGAAAAGCTCCGCGATGCCCGTCTCTGCCCTCATTGTTCCAAACTCTGCTGTTTCAGCTGCATACGGGTGAGCAAACACGTACACACTCATTAACACACAGCCAAGAGGAGCTCACCGTGTACCAGGGCCCTGTGTAATGAATCAACACTCCCTGTACTCTCTTTATTTTCACTTGACAGGATATAAGTAGATTTGGTTTAAAAACATTTATAAAGTATTCTTTGAAAAAATTTACACACTTCAACTTTAAGTGCGGGTCTGTGGCCGGTTGCATAAACTGTATAGACTAGTCTTAAAAGTTTCTCACCTCATTTCTTTTCCCTCAAGACTGGTCCAAATCAGTTCCATTAAAAGGCAGTTTGGTCTACTTTGAAAAGGAAAAGTAACACTTATTACCTCTTGTCTAACTGCTAGATGGTCAGACTAGTTCTTAAGACACAGTCATAACATAGTGGCTACGTTTATGCACCTGGCCCCATATCTAAAAGATTATGGTTGTTTTTGCCAAAACCCTTTGTGTAATGAGCATTATAAATGCTTTTTAGATGCTTTCCAAGTGCATGTTGAGAAGAATCCCACTAATAAAACTCTTAAAATGTATTTTAATAATTGACCTTTTACTGATTCGGAGGATAAGCCAAGCTAGCATTTATAAATGAGTACGTTTTGTTCTTTTTGTTTCTCTTCCTGGCAGCGATGGCTGACAGAACAGAGAGCTCAATGTCCCCACTGTCGGTAAGTTCTGAGGTTCAACTTCAAATGATGCTTTGAGCTCTGACAGTCTTTGGAGTAAATCTAGAGGATTAAGTATTGATTGTTCTATTGTTGGAGTTCATTTCAGGGAAGCATTGATTTGCTACATTAAAGAAACCACATCCAAAAAAACTTTAGAAAACTGGACCAGAGCCACCTGATATTTGGCAACAGAACACACTTACATAATTGCCAAAGCAGTTTGAAGTGTGTTCAAACTAGTGCTCTATGATTAAATCTCAAACACAAAACCTCCTTTATCAGGAGTGCTGGAACAGATTAATCCCTGATACTCGTTTTTGGTTGATAAAAAGAAAAGAAAAGAAGAATTTCTAATAAATAATGACAGTATGGTAGAACCAACTTGAATCCAGTTTGCAACACTGTCCTCTCTTGATTTAAAAAAAGTGGGAGTAATAATAATAAATATGTATATGGTCCTTTTGGCTAATACAAATTCAAATGTTGAATTCAGAGCTCCTCTTCAGCTGAGGGAACTGGTCAACTGTCGCTGGGCAGAGGAAGTGACTCAACAACTGGACACACTGCAGCTCTGCAACCTCACAAAACATGAGGAGAACGACAAAGACAAGTGAGCCATACTCTTATTCGCACTGAATATTAATGCAAGTCTAACAGCTGCAGTGTGATGTTTTTCGAACATGGACACTTTTGGCGCTGTTAAATAACTATTTTTATAAAGTTATGTTGGTAATGTTTTTTTTTTAAAGAAAGAAATTAATACTTTTATTCAGCAAGGACACGTTACATAAAATCGAACAGAATTTCGAATTTTTTGTAACATTATAAATGTCTTTACTATTTCAAATAAATGCTGTTTCTGAACTTTCTATTCACCAAAGATTCCTAAAAATGTATCACCGTTTCCATAAAAATATTATACTGCACAACTGTTTTCAAAATTTATAATAATAAGAACATTTTCTTGAGCACCAAATCAGCATGATAGAATGATCATGTGACAGTGAAGCCTGAAGTAATTATGCTGAAAATTCAGCTTTACCATTACAGGGATAAAATACATTTTATACACATATTATAATATTTTACAATATTACTGTATTCACTGTATTTTTGATTAAATAAATGCAACCGTGGCATAAGAGAGTACCTTCAAAAACATTAAAATTATACGGGCCCCAAACATTTGAACAGTAGTGCGTCTATACAATGAATAGTTCTATATATTAATCACTCTTAAGTGTGTGTGTGTATAAAATTGATATTGAATTTAAGTATTACATTTTAATGTAAGTATACAAGTATATATAAGTATGGATTTTCTTAATTATTTCACACTTTAAACACATTAAAGCTTTTAAAATGTGATCATTTTTTATCGTGGATTTAAACATCTAGGCATAAAAGGCTAGACTAGCAAAAATAGTCACGATAAAATGTTTTTTATATATATATATAGAAAAAAATATGCCACAGAGAGTATACTGGATTCTTCATTTCTGAGTCTCCTCTCATTTTATCTAATAACTACCTAACTAACTAAGTGATCAATGAGTGTACACTTTATTACTGACTGCCAGTGATACTCTCCTCACTCCGTCATTCTCTCACCCTAACAGGTGTGAGAACCATCATGAAAAGTTGAGCGTGTTCTGCTGGACTTGTAAGAAGTGCATCTGTCACCAGTGCGCTCTGTGGGGAGGCATGGTATGTGTTTCTGTCTTCAAAACGCATTAGTCAGGCTGATGGATTACATCTATGATGTCATTTCCTCCTCAGATGAAACATGACTGGTGGTCACACATAGGAGCATATTATCAATGAATAACACTGCACCTAACGATGTAAGTTAGTCTCAAACAGGAACTTCCATATCTCCTCCTCTCCACAGCATGGAGGTCATACGTTCAAACCCCTGGCCGAGATCTACGAGCAGCATGTGACGAAGGTGAACGAGGAGGTGGCTAAGCTGCGGCGCCGGTTGATGGAGCTCATTAGTCTGGTTCAAGAAGTGGTAAGCACCCTTGCTTCTCATTCACGCCCACTCGCAGCATTTAGACGAGTTTAGAGTTGACAATTCATAATGGATGATAGTTTACCAGCCTCAAATGCCTTTTAGATGGAACTGCTAATGACAAATCAAATGTTATCTAATTACATGTATTTCTGGTTTGATAAGTGGCGTTTTACATAATGTGTTGCATAATAAAGACGTTTTACATAATGTAGAACTCCAGGATGCCAAGAAACCCACATAAATACATCAGTTACTGACTATAGCTCACTTTTGAATCCTATGTCAGGTGATTGTCCAATAGAGGGCGCCACAGCACATGTATCCACAGCAAATATAAGATATACAAGATGCACAAAAAACATCTAGTGGAAAGTCTTCCCAGAAGTGGAAGTATTAATGCTGAAGGCAAAGCTGAATTTTCAGCATTATTACTCCAGTCTGTGAAGGATCAGTGTCACATGATCCTTCACAAGTCATTACAATATGCTAATCTGTTGCCCAAGAAACATTTGTTGTTATTATCAGTGTTGAAAACATTTTTGTGGAAACCATAATACATTTTTTAGGGTTCTTTGGTGAATAGAAAGAACAAAAGAACAGCATTTATTTAAAACAGAAATATATTTATTTTCTGTCTTTTTTTTTTTTTGTCTGACTTTTGTCCCTTTTGATCATTTTAATTTATCCCTTCTGAATAAAAGTATTATTTCTTGCAACAACAACAAAAAAATCTTACTGAGCCCCAAATATTGAATGGCAGTGTGTTCATCCACATACTTTTGGCCAGTAATGTGAATCCTACTAAGCTAAAGAAACGAGGTCAGAAGTATTCTGTGTTAATTTAACCACATTTTCTTTGTTTTTCAGGAGAAGAACGTTGAGGCGGTGCGTGGGGCGAAGGATGAGAGGGTGAGGGAGATCCGGAATGCTGTGGAAATGATGATTGCTCGACTTGATAATCAGCTCAAGAACAAACTCATCACGCTCATGGGTACAAGCATCCTTTTCTTCTGACATCATTTTCATATAACTTGATCTTTGAGGTAATATTGGTCTAATGTAGTGTTGCTGCACCCACAGGACAGAAGACCTCTCTGACACAGGAAACAGAACTGCTGGAGTCTCTGCTGCAGGAAGTGGAACATCAGGTGTGTGGAGTCAATGTATGAGTAAAATAATACAGACATGCAATGTGGTCCAAGTGTCTGAGACAATCAAAGAAACTTCAAAATATATTATTTTAATCTTCTAAAATTAAATTAGAATAATTATTTTAATAAGAATTATATTTCAGATGCACTATTACTAAATCAAATAAGCAAATTTGACCAACAAAAGGAGGACAAACCAAATACTAAGTCATTCTAAAAATGAATGTTGATGTTTCAGTTTAACTTTTCACTTACATTGTTGATTGAATGAATTTGTAATGGCAAAAATAGCATTAAAGTGTGACGTGTGTTTACACCCTACAGCTGCGATCATGCAGTAAGAGCGAGCTGATCTCCAAGAGTCCAGAGATCCTGCTTATGTTCCAGCAGGTTCACAGGAAACCAATGCAGTCTTTTGTCACCACTCCTGTCCCACCAGACTTCACCAGGTATGCACATTTAGATACTGTACCTGTTATACTGCCTCTTCATGCAGAGACGAGATCTCAGTGAGCTTGAAGTTTTGTGCTCTCTGTGGCAGACTGTGAATAATGAAAATTATCTAGGCTAATAGAGCCGTTCAATCACAGTGTCAATTTGTAGGCAACACGGTTGGCTACTTCACTTAAAATAATGCTCCTTTATTTATAAATGAATTAAAGTTTGTGGTCAACATTTCTTGAATAGACTCCCTCTGCAATATAAATTGCATGCAGTCATATCTCATTTGTTCTCAGTGAGCTGGTCCCTGCCTATGACTCCAGCACTTTTGTTTTGGCAAACTTCAGGTAATGACCCTCCCTTTGTCTCTCTTATTAATTTATTTCTTAAATGGTGCATTAGTTCTCTTGCGTGACTTGAATTGGTGTTGTCTCGTTGCCTGAAGTACTCTGCGGCAGAGAGCCGACCCCGTCTACAGCCCCCCGCTCCAGATATCAGGCCTTTGCTGGAGGTTGAAGGTTTATCCGGTACGTTTGTCACAAGTAACATGGATAAATTGAAATTCATATATATATATTTTTAAACTCTTCCTATTCTCACAGACTTTGTTTTTGTGGTGTAGGATGGAAATGGAGTTGTTCGGGGAAACTATCTCTCTGTTTTTCTGGAGTTGTCTGCGGGGCTTCCTGAGACGTCCAAGTAGGCCGCACTCCCTGATCTTGTCCTCTCATCTTGCTGCATAGTCTCACAAATAACTTATTTTTTTCATGCCTAACTCATTGCATTCCTTCTAGATATGAATACAGGGTGGAGATGGTCCATCAGGCCTCCAGTGACCCCACTAAAAACATAATTCGAGAGTTTGCATCGGACTTTGAGGTGGGCGAGTGCTGGGGGTATAACAGGTTCTTCAGGTTGGACCTTCTCGCCAGTGAAGGATACTTGAATATGCAGAATGACACACTTGTGCTCAGGTGCGAGCTTGCATATTTATATTAGACATTTTTATAGCTCTAATAGCTCCTTTTAATAATAAAGGGGTCATGAACTGCATTTTTTTTTTTTTTTTTTGAAATTATAATGCTCATTGAGGTCCACTTATGATGTTAGCAAGATTTTTGCTTCAAAAAACATCCTAATTTTGAAGTAATAGGCAATTTTCTATCCTGTTTTTGACCCTCTCTTTGAAACACTCCGTTTTGATAGGCGTGCCGCATTCAAGACTTGGAAGTAAACGCCCACTGCTATGATTGGTTAACACCGTGTCTACACCAGACGCAAGCGACGCAATACGACAAAAGTAAATAGAACCCATTATAATCACTGATGCTGTCTACACTGGATGCGGCACGATGTGACAAATTCCTGAGGGTAAATTGATCCCTCGTTCTATTTCTGAGGTACTTCTGATACTAAGGACAGTTGGATTTGCAGTGGTCGCTTTGTCACGTCCGGTGTGGACACAGTGTAACAGTTTTGCAAAATAATTTTCAACGTCCCCGCTACACGTGTGGAATTGTTTTGAAAACTTCTGATGTTTGCCATACATGTTCCTGATCCCGAATCAGAAGACAAACCTACACCTCTAATAACAGTTTGGTAATTAATATCTTTATTTATATTAATTCCTTATGTATTTGTGAGGCAGTATTGTATTTTATTACATTAGTGTTGAAACGACACTGCAGAAAGTTACATAGTTGAATTTTCCAACTGTGAAACATTTATGCGCATTACATCATTTTGGGAGATTGGTTTAAATAAAAGCTGTTTTTGGACTAACAAGGAAGTTTTGAGTTCTGAAGCATATTTTTATAGTAAAATTACCAATATGTCAAAAGGTCAAGGAAATTCATGACCCCTTTAATATAAATATAAAATTTATTTTGCACCTGTGTTCGTTATTAGAGCCTTTTGACACAGAAAGCATAATTGTGTTCAAAAACATCTTAGATGGAATTTAACTTTGAAGTCCCAAGATGTTTTTTTTTTTTTTTTAAGTTTAACTTTTGATTAAACAAAGTGTCTTAAACGCCGGTTAAGCCAAAAATACAGAAAAAAAAGGTGGGACTCATTGAAACGCTTAAAGACGTCCTTCCAACTCAAATGGATGCAAGAACACGTCCTGTGTGAACCATTTTCTCTGCTTATAGAATAACCATTCAATGTATCGGATACAGGGGTGTATCCAGTGTATGCTGTCTCGTTCATTTCTCATGCTCTACTTTTTCCATTAATGTCACAGGTATCAAGTGCGATCACCTACGTTTTTTCAGAAGTGTAGAGATCAGTATTGGTATATAACTCAGCTGGAATCGGCCCAGTCCAGTTACATTCAGCAGATCAACAACCTAAAAGAGGTCAGTGTTAAAGATGCAGTTATGTGTAGTTCTATGTAACCCTGAAAACAGCATCCTTAGGATCTGGCTAGAAAAAACTGCATTGCTTTCTTCTATACAGACTGAAGCGAATGTATTTATGAATACATTTACTTTTCATGTAATATTAATGCTATAACATGTAATGCCTGTTAATGTTTTTAAGCTTAACTAAATAGATAGTCCACCCAAAAATAAAAAATTCTGCCATCATTTACTCACCTTCATGTAATTCCAAACCTGTATGACTTTCTTCTGCGGAACACAAAAGAAGATATTTTGAATAATGTTGGAAAGAGAATGGCTCCTATTGACTTCCATAGTATGCTTGATCCATACTGTGGAAGTCAATAGGAACTGAAACTGTTTTCTTTCCGACATTATTCAAAATACCTTCTTTTGTGTTCCGCAGAAGAGAGGAAGTCTTGCAAGTTTGTAACAACATTAGGTTGACTAAATGATGACAGAATTAAAAAATTTCGGTGGAATATACCTTTAAGATGTGATGTATGTTGCTTATGTTCTGGTATATTTCTGTTCAGAGGTTGGCCATAGAACTGTTCCGTCGGCAGAAGTCACGGAGTTCCTCTCCACCTGATCGGCGTCTCTGCCCCACAACGTCCTCCGGGAGAGACTCTCGTCAGGGGAAGAGCTCCTTACTGGAGGAAGGGAGTCAGGCAGCATCAGTGGGGACGAAGGAAGATGAGGATGAAGAGAAGACTCAGCATGATGACTCTAATGTAAGGCCTGAAAGAGCAGCATGATGACGTTCATAGCTACTTTTTTTTTTATTACTTTTTTTTTTTTTTTTTGCCATCAAATGTAAAAAAAAACCTTCCCTTTGAGAACTAGAAAAGTACAGTTTTTTTTTTTACTCCTATAAGATATTATCCATCATTTCTTCATAGCCACATCTTTAATTACATCTCTTACATCATCATCATCATCTTAAAGTAGGCTGTGTTTTTAGGCATTTAACATTCACATCAGAGTACACTCATTGTGATCTCTAAAGAAAACAAGCTTACATACTAATGTAATGTAGTGAACCTGCAGATTTCTGTGCTTGGAGCTATTTGATGTTATATTACGCACATTGGTATCAGTTTGATGATGATGTGTTGATGCAACGTTAGGAGTTGTCTGACGGGGATCTGGAGGTAGACTGTCTAACTGGAGACGAAGATGTCAATCCTCTGGATGGAAGTAGCACCTCTGGAAGCTCCACAGCCACCAGTAACACGGAGGAGAATGACATTGACGAAGAGACCATGTATGTACAAGATTTAAAGACAACCTTACTAAAATTTCAGAATGTGCTTTTAAAGCAGAACCTCTTGACTGTTACAGGCATAATTCACCCAAAATATAGGAATATTCTCTCAGCATTTACTTCCTGTTATGTTGTTTCAAAATTTGTCGTTCTTTAACTCGCTCAAAGCTATTATATGGTTTCAGAAGTCATTGGAAGTCATATGGACCTTTTTTTTTGTTTGACTTGACAGTTTTATTAAGAAATATGCCGCTTGGAGATTCTTTTTTGAAGATTTTTATTTGAAAAAAAAAGAAAGAAAAGAAACTTAAACAGCACGAGGGTGATTAAATAATGACCGGATTTTCTTTTTTGCCTGAACTCTTTCTTTTGACCCAGGTAAAATCAGGTGATATTATTGTTATTAACAGCTTTATATATGCCTCATCCAATGAGGTTTTAGAGATCGAATTATTTTATTTTAAAATATTTATTTTATAGTAATTGATGGAAAACAGCACTTGACGAAAGTCACAAGCTTCACTGTGGTACGTATGTAGATAAAGTAGATCTATTGAAAGTGTTTCTGGCAAAATCGTGATCAGCTCTAATAGCGTTTTTCTTTTTCTTTTTTCCTTATATCAGTACTCATCATTTGCTAGGTCACATCCTTATGGTGTGGTAAATACTAGTGTACTAAAATTATTGCATAAGGGATGGTGCTTTGTGTGCCAGAGGGTAACAGCTGTATCCTCCCCCTGACTGGAAAACACAGTTTAATTAGGGCTGCTACCACAACTGTGACAGGAAGCCCCTCGCGCACTGTGTTCAACCAGAGAAGAGCTGCTCTTTATACCCTGTCCTATCACGATCTGAGAAAATGAGCACTATTGGCAGCTTTGACTTGTGTAGGCTCTGTGAGAGTGCTTGTGTTTCTGTAGTGAGGTGTTGGAGTCAGAACCTCACATGTTTCTGCTCATGCTGCCGGCTACCGCCTGCTCACACGGCTCTCAAATGCACACACTGCTCCAACCAGATGAGACGAATGAGTCATCAGAGCCTCTACCTCCTGCTTACAAATGCTCGTTCTCACAGAATCTCTTTTCCAACGTGCACAGCACACACATACGTGCACTCTTGTTCTCAGGCCCACGCACATGCTCTCACACCTTTTACTCCATTTGCTCGAGTGTTTTGTGTGTGCCCATGGACTAACCGTTGCCCAAATGTCAGAAGCCCACTTCTTTAGGATAAAGTAGGGGAGAGAGGGAATATAAGGTTAGGACCTTTATTATCATGTCAAATGCATTTTCTGTGACCTCTTGAGATAGCATATTTTTGATTTGATTTTTCCATCAGGGTTGGCACAAAAAGCTTCTTTTTTTTCTTTTTTTTTTTTTTAAGCTTTTTGGGCGTGCTTCACGTGTACTTCTCATAAGCTTCACATGCACTCAGGCAAACCAGAGAAGTCTCGATTGGATGGTAATTTTAATTTAAAGCCGCACAATCCCTGCAATGCACATACACACTTTTTTTCAATATATATAAAGAGAACCCACAGAATCAGGTTTTTTTTTTATTCTGTATTTAATAAATAAAAAAAATCAAATTTCCAAAGAGAATTTTTATTGGTGGGGCCAGTGCAAGTACTAGCAGGGCAAGCAAACATTTGTTCTATGTATCCGTGTGGAGTCTCAGCTTCTATAAATACTGAAGTGGATCAGCGCAAAGAACCGCTGGAGAAGACTGAGTCATCACACTGTTGAGCCTGAGACAATGGTGCATGTGTGTTACCCTTACACAGACACACACACATACATACATATTCAGCAGTAAGCTTGGAGCAGAACGCTATCAACACCCCCTGTGGAGAAGCTTATTTCAGACCGTACCACTTCTCACTATTAACAGGGGGAGCCACGCAAATACATTTAAAGCATGTGACGATACGCTGGGGACATAATGCCCGGCCACGCCTAATTTAGCTCCATTGGGATCCAATTAATAATTTCCATACATACACCAAATATTAGAGCTGATCTGGTTATGCATTGTAGTTTTGTTTACTTGCTGCTGACATTCCACTAGTACAAGTGTGAATTGTTTCCATCTGTTGTAGGTCTGGTGAGAATGACGTGGAGTACAGTGGGAATCTAGACCTTGAGGAAGGTGAATTACCAGATGATGTTGCCGGGGCAACAGGTGAACCAGATTTTCTCCATCCAAGCGCCCTCACTGATACTAATAATGCTGTTTCTCTAATGAAAAGCGAATGTCATGCATATGGCAATCTGGTGTGTTGAAACACTTGGCTTTGAAGTGTCATCGACTGTGACGCGCTGTTAATCAGTTGTAGTCATGAAACCGAGCCAAATTACCATATCAGCCTTTGAGGATTTACTGCAGAATCTGCAGTTTAAAACGCGGTTAGAGCTTCTCCTGAAAGACTGTTAGTGTGCACTAAATCGAAATGACATTTAATAATTCCCTAAAAAAATGTTTAACTAGAACTATAATGTTTTTAGTGTTGAAGTCGGCATGAAACTGAAGTTGTGATCATGTTTTGATCATCTTTTGAGCGAAACTCCCTCTCAAACGAGAAACAAGAAATGTAGGACGGGACTTGATTTTGTCCATCGGAAATTGATTGGATCGTTGGATTGCTGTTGTTTGCCAATTGCTGTTATCTCATGTGAGTGACGGGTTGCTGGAGGGGAGGGGGAAATTATTTTGATGAAAGTTTGTGTATGGATAAGTCATTTATAATAAACAATGCAATATTTTATTTAAAAATAATAATTATAAATTTTGATTTCATGGGGACTTCAACTAAAACTAATAAAACTGGTCACTGAAAAAAGAATCTGAAATAATCTAAAATATAAATATATTAAATGAAAAACTTTTATTATTTAATTTCAGATAATTGCCAAGGCAATATTTAAATTACTTTAATATTATGAACTAAAGCTGAAATGGAAATACATTTAAGCTAAACAAAAACTATAAAAAATGACAAGCAATTTTTTTTTTTTACTAAGAACGAAACTAAAATTAAAAACTTAAAATAGTTCTTAATAAAAATACTATATTCATATTATTTAAAATATTAATAAATACTATAAACGTATATTAATAAAACTATAATAACACTGTAGCTGAGAAACAATTTATAGACATAATTTACATAAACACATTACCACCTTGTGGTGTGTGTTATAAAAAAATAAAGAAAAAGAATTCAACATTCTATTGTCAATTATTCCTGAGTTATTTTAGACAATATTTACTTAAAATACATTCAGATAAAAAAAAAAAAACATTCAGCATTATTCATTGGTATAGTCCAGCTGAGCATGGTAATAGAAGACATCATTTCAGTAGTCAATACCAATAGCAGTAAAACTAAGAAAAACAGCAACAAAAGTGTATTATACACTCCTATATTAAAATTACATTAAATTGAATTAAAACAATGAGATAAAGCCTTTAAACTTAAGGACTTCTGTCGGTGAATCTTTTCGACCTGTCTTCGATCCTTATGCTACAAATTGCGATTGAACCTACTTTACTGTACAAATACTCTCTCAAAACTTTGATAGACTTTGTTCCTGTACTTTTCATATCCCTACTGGCTTCCACCTTTACATGCTAACACTGACTACAGCTGTATAATGCTACCCTTACACAAGCAAAGTCCTCTCTGTACTAACTGTCTCCCTCTGCTGGTCAGGAGATTCAGGTGCCTGTGCCCGGGGCTTAAGGCGTGGGGCAGGTGCAAGTTCAGCCAGCCTCCTGGAGATCGACCCGGTCATCCTCATCCAACTCTTGGACCTGAAGGACCGCAGTCATGTGGAGTCACTGTGGGGGATGCAGCCCCGCCCCCCTACCTCTCTCCTCCAGAGCCAAGGTGTCAATTATTCAATAATTAAATAATTAAAGTATACAATTATTAATAATTAAACATGAACTTGATAACACTCTAAAGAGTCTGTAGCATCTAAAGTCGGTATGATTCATGACTCATTAACCATTTTTGATTGACAGCTGCTGCGGTGCCCTCCCGTAAAGAGCGTGAGCGTCGCCCTCAGGCGGTGCGTCGGTCAGTCCCGGACTCGGGGGTCCTGATCAGACTGAAGGCTCAGATGGCAGAAGTGCGCAGTAAGATGTCAGACGTGAAAGGGCAGCTGGAAGCTCGCAGTGGAGCCGGTCGAGTCTCCTCTCAGGAAGCCTCAATCCACGAGCAGGGCCCCTCCATGGACTCAGAGATGGGACCCAGCCGCAAACCCAGTGAACTGCTCTTCAAAGCGCCCATTTCATCAAGACACTCTCGCAGTGGTATGCATGAGCTTTTTTTTAAGGTTTATTTTTGGCATTTTTGCTTCTATTCAGACAGTACGATAGGAGAGAGGACAGTTAGCAAATGGGAGAGAGAAGGAAAGGACCCTGAGCTGGAATTCTGAGGACGCACTAAATTGATCTAAAGACAGTAATAAATTATTATTCCAAATACTATACTATTCCAAATAAATGCTGTTCTTTCTATTCATTAAAGAAGACTAAAAAAATGCATCATGCAGAAATCTGATTTCCACAAAAATATTCATTCGAATCAGATGTTTACAACATTTATAATACTTAAAAAGAAATGTTTCTTGAGCAGCAAATCAGCAAATTAGAATGATTTCTGAAAGATCATGTGACACTGAAGACTGGAGTAATGATGCTGAAAATTCAGCTTTGGCATCACAGGAATAAATTACATTTTAAAATATATTAAAAGAAAAAAGTAATTTTTTTATTTGTAATAATATTTCACAATATCTCTCTCTTTTTTCTATCTAATAAATGCAGCCTTTATGAGCATACGAGACAAAAATATAGTAACATTTTACAGACCCCAATCTTTTGAACGGTAGTGTATATTGTTGTAGATTCAGCCTGGCTTTGTTTTGGTCTTTGTTTTAGGGGTGAAGAAGGCTGGCTCTCCTAAGCAGGAGAGTGTGGGAGCGCTGGCTGGACTGTCCCTGCGCCGGACTGTGGATGCTGGAGAGAAGGAGCTGAGAGGAGCAGGCCGAGAGTCCCCTACTGAACCTGCTCTGTGTCCCAGAGAGGGACCCTCCTCCTTAGATGGTTTGTACACTACAGAAACAGTCAACATACAGTTGTAGACTAGTCGTCCGTCATTTATCTTGTGAGAAAAACACGCTGCATGCTGCTTTTCAGCATATTGCATTAGTAATGCTTTTTTTTTTAGAGAGGCCATGTCAAGTTAAAGGTTTATTTCACCCAAAAATTTAAAATATCCAAAAATGTATTTCACCCAAAATTTTTAAATATCCCAAAATTTACTTACCCTCAAGCCATCCTTACCATTTTTTTAATCTTTCAGCCAAACACAGTCGGAGTTATATTAAAAAATATCCTGGCTTTATAATTGGAGTGAAAGGTACTTTAGATTTTGAAGCCCACAAAATTGCATCCATCCATCATAAAGGTAATCCATTCGACTCCAGGGGGGATAATAAAGGCCTTCTGAAGCGAAACGATGCGTTAGGCTTCCGGTAACGGCCGTTCACGAGACTAGTTCCGGAGTGACCTCTGACCTGACGTAGGATGTAGGAGTAGCGTAAGCTTAGGTGGGGGTAGACGCCCCTCGTGGTTCAAGCAAATAGTGCTGGTGAACAACTCAAGCTCCTCCAACATTTATCTTTCAAAATTCTCGTTTTAGACTTCTAACTCGGGGCTTCCACGTTCGCCAATGCGTCATGCGTCGGGTCAGAGGTCACTCTTCCACCGGACTTCGACTTGCTTAAGGCCGTTACCGGAAGACAGTGATTTATAGTTTATAAAAATATAAATACGGATATTTTTCTGGAGCTTTTATGATGGATGGATGCGCTTTTTTGGGCTTCAAAATACCATTCACTCCAATTATAAAGCTTGGAAGAGCCAAGATATTTTTTATATAACTCTGATTGTGTTTGGCTGAAAGAAAAAGTCATATTTACCTAGGATGGCTTGAGGGTGAGTAAATTATGGGATAATTATATTTTTTGTGTGAACTAACCCTTGAACCCAACCAGCCTAATTTTACAGGGCTTCCTAAGACTAGTCGTTCAGATAACGCTCAAGCTGGTCGATTATGAAAATGTCGCTTTGCCCATCCCTAGAAGCACCAATAGCTATGAATAATCTGAAAAGATTAATTTGGGGAAAAGCAGACTTCTGGGAAACTCAACCGTGATATTTCAGGGCGTATTCAAATGGTCTGAAATGACATTTATCTGTGTTTTGCAGGCTCCCTGAAAGCGCGCAGTGTGCAGAGTTCTCCTCCCTCGCTGGGAAGCAGCTCCTCTTCCTCTGATAAGCCCTCTGGCTCCAAACACGAGGAGCTGCTGTACGGAGCTTCAGCTTCAGACCTGTTCAGCATCACAGCTCTCAATGGAGCGGCTGCACCCGTCACCAAACAGCGCAGGACTCCAGCCGCTGGGTAATGCACACAAAACAAGCCATCGCTGTGTAATTGTGTGTTTCCATTCATGAACAAATCCAGTAATTGGGCTTGATTGAAGGTTGGCGTTTTTATACCTAGAATAGACATTTGAATGCTGATGAGATCCTCAGTAATGGTGCGCTGATTTTAATTTGTTGTAATTTGTTACATTCAATAACATTATCATAATTTGCTGAGTTCTATTCTGATGCTATAAATCAGTGTATGGTCTTTGTATTAACTCGAAGAAAGAGTCTTTATTTTTTTCCCTCCACAGTGAATTGTAAGGTTTGCTGGTTTTTGGGTTTGATTTGTTTAGTTGTTTTTTATTTATTTTTTTGGCTTCGTTTCACGTTAAATATTTGTCATACAATAGCTTACACCAGGTACATTTTTGTTTAGTTAGTTTGTTTCATGTAAAATAACAAGACACATAGGCCTGGTTCCACGGACATGGCTTAGATTAAGCCAGGATTATGCCTTAGTTCAATTAGGGCATTGGTTTAGTTTTTTAGTTTGTTTTCTCTTTAGTTTTACATAAAATAGCATGATACACAATGTTTTTTTTTTTTTACCATGCTAATTAGATTGTATCCCTCAGGCCTGGCCTGCTGATAGACAGCTCTCTGAACTGTGATCAAGAGAGTGCCTGTGAAATCCAGTCACTGCTGTCACTGGCGGAGCCATCGTCCTCTTCCTCCTCACGCCCTGATGAAGGTGAGACATGAAGATCCGCTCTCAAAAACATGGGCCATAATTACACTGCAGCATGTTATATTTGTGTTGCATCAATGAGTCATTGCACACACTGTGAAGGAACCCACTGTCATTCAACTGCATATAAAATTAGACGTGTTCTCAGGATTTGACAGTTAATCATACTCCAAATGGCCCAAGGTTACCGTCAGGAGGCTCCTGAGTAACACTCCCTTATCTAATGCTTTATTGCAAAGAAAATGAACCACAACTAATACAGAAAAACACGTGTTCTCAGTACTGATATCTGGCCGTTCATATAAGCACATGGTCGTCTGTCCTCAGATCTCCTCGGTGAGAAACAGCCTCACCGCGTTCTGCCGAGCATGAGCAGTGACAGCGAGCTGGACTGTGACACGGAGAACGAGAACGAGGATGAAGTTGTGTCTCTGGAGGCTGGAGACTGTGCGTTTGACACCAGAACACTACCCTGCCCAGGTTTATATCTCACACTTCACTGACTCCGCTAGTTCACTGCTAGCACTCAAAAGTTTGGACACACTTGACTGAACTTGTTTCTTCATGATCTTTTTTATCTAAAGGCTTAGGCTTAAATACTACCTTTTTTTTTTTTTTCAGGTCAAATTGAAAATTTACCTTTTACATATGCAAATTAGGCTCAATCTCATTAAAAATTAAGCGAAGAATTGCTCATTTATAACAAAAGCAATACACAAGTGCACCCTAAACGTTTGATAGATTTTATCTATATGTAAATGATTTATCCTGTTTGTCCATTCCTCTATCTCCTTTTAACTCTTTCCCTGCCAGCGTTTTTTTTTTTTTAGTTTAAGGTGCCAGCGAGCGCCAGTATTTTTGATAATTTTCACAATTTCCATGGCCCCAAGAATATTTTGTTGTATGAATATCTGAACATACAATATATCAAAAGAAAGAACAGAGCCTCTGCTTTAAAACAAAAACATTTGGTTCTAGCTCAATGCATTCTTTTAAATCAGCTCTTGAATTTAGTTTGTTAGTTTAATAAAAAAGCGACATTTTGAACAAAAAGCTGAGAAAAATTGCATCCCCCCAAAGAATACAATGTGCATAAGTAATGCTTTTATCGCTTGTTTCTGCTCCTTTTTTTGCCTGTTTTGATCTAGATATTCTCTTCTGGTACTGTATAGCAGTGAAAACACGGAAAGCGGGAAAATTGGCTGGGAAAGAGTTAAATGTTTATTAATTAATCTTTTATACCTAAACTGATTTAACCCTGTTCTTGGCATGAAAACATCCTTAGATGCTGAAAATAAATATTAAATAAAGAAAGTTTAGAAAAATGCCAGAAATCTGACTGTTACAAGAAGTGTAATTTAAGAAGCAAAAAACATGTCAATGTCACTTGGCTGTTGAAGCTAACCAGTTCTAATTTAATTAAAAATAATACTTAATGGGTTTTTTTAATAAATTTTGAGGATTAGTTTTGATGTTTTCTAAAATTTGGTAGTTGAAGATGTAATTTTTTTTTTTTTTTGTTGCAGAAAGTCAAAATTGTTAAATCCAAGCATCTCCCCTTTTAATTGAGTGTTTCCCTAATATAGAACAACACTCTATCACACAGCCTGTATGTTGAATAAATGTAATTACGTGCTTTGTTAAAGTTTAAAATAGGTCAGCCACCTGTTTAGTCTCTGATTATCTCTGTGTGTGGGCCAGACTGCACCAGCTTACTCTAATGTTCCAGTATTGTGACTTTTGTTCCAGCGACCCGTGTGTGGTCTGCTGACCTGTGTCTGTCTGTGTGTCGTTCTCAGGCGAGCAGCTGATCCCTGATGATCTGAGCTTTGTGTCTGGAGAGACCACAGAGAGGTGATCCGCCACAGCAAATGCTACAAAAATGTCCTCAAGTCGTCAGGCTCTGAATGTGCTCCTTACAATTATGTCTGTGCACTTACTTTATGTTAAGATAGAACAGGAATATTTGTGCTACTGTATATGTTATTTAAGAGAAACACAACTTTCAGGATGGGAAAGAAAAGTGTTTTCTCTGCATTGTGAAATGCGTAACATTCCGTTATAAAGGTGTATAAATTTATGTGTGCATAACTAGATAATCATATATTAAAGTTGTATACTACATTTCTTTACTTTTGCAATGCTGCTTATTTTCATACATTTATAGGGAGTTGCCAAACAGTTGCCCTATATTTTATTTTATTTTTTGTCAAAAACTGAGTTTAAATATTTTGGCACAATTAAGTCAGAATGTCATATGCAGATGCTGCTCTGTTACCGATTCATGTGGCTTTATATATATATATATATATATATATATATATATATATTAGTGAGTTTTGTAGCTAACCCCACTTCAGCTGTGTAGTCCACAAAGCATAGCTTTCTATTCCCAAAACATGTTTACATTGACTAAATGTCTGCAAAAAGGGAACATGGAGCTGATACAAGTTCAAATAATTTTCTGATATATATATATATATCAAATAAGCAGTTATTACACAGCTCAGTTACAAGCATTAGTGAACTTATTAATGCTACATTCCCATTTTCGCTTGGTGTTTTTTCCCCTTTTTTATATATATATACCCATGTTAACTCCTATAAGATGTCCAAATAAAAGGCAGTTACATACTTAAACCAAAGTCTCAGGTGGGTCCAAGTCTGTGTTTTTAGCCCCACGCAGGTGGTGTTTTGCGTCAGAACTGCTGGAGTGTTTGTGTGGTTTGGTTTGAGCTCAGTCAGACACACATTGATGACGTGTCTGTTACGGCAGCGGCAGCTGCTGGATATCACAGCGTTTCTGTTGTGAATAGATGTGGTGGCGTCATCAACAGCTGGGGACTGATGCACTTCTATTCATCTGAGGTCACAGTGTTGCTCTTTGCATGGTCAGCTTTCACTCAGTACAGTCTGTTGAAAGTGTGAATGTTTTGTGCTGTTTAATTAACAACAGGTCAGTGCTTTATACAAATACTTTTGTTCCCCTCCAGCATGTTTATAGTCTCTGCAAAGTCTAAAACAATGAAGACAGTGTTCCTTGACTATTTAATATAAATCTAATGCTTTGCTTTGTGCTGTAATAATAATGTCCTTATTTTAATGTTTTATGTTTCATATGAGCAATAGAGCAATCTGTTTACTGGTTTATTTCTCTAGCATATTTTTAAAGATTTTTTTGTGTTTGGAAGGGAGGGAGGCTCAAAACAATCTGGAGTATATGCACAGTATGTACTGTATATTTATCTAAATTAAAATCTGAACAAATAAAAGATGTGATACTATTAAATACTTTTTTCTTCGAGTCACCTGAATTGAAATGTGTTAAAGTGTAAAAAAAAAAAAAAAATACAGGTCCAATGTCACCCCCAAAAAAGAATTATATAATAATATAAAATGAAAATATTTGATATAAGATGTAATAAAAATACTTATATTGTTTATGTAAAATTACATGTTGTATTCACACTTTTAAAAATATTTTTGAGGTGTTTTGAACTTTTTATTTCTTGGCATTTCAATTTTTCTTAAAGATGATTTATTCTTTTTTGTTTTATTTACTGTATTGTTTTTTTAATCAGCATAAATTAAATGCCTTTATTATAGCGCTATCTATACATGTTCTTAATATATAAACATATATATTTTAACTTTGTTTATTGTTAAAATGTTGATAAAAATGTGATTCTAAATATGATTCTAAAAAACGATTTCTAAAATTTAAACCATATTTTATTTAATTTAGATTTTGAGGCGAAATATGATCTGGATTACAGCCTAAGAAGAATTATATAATAAAATATAATGGGGAAAAAAATAAATATAAAAAATGTATACGTGTTAAATTAAAGTTAGATTTAAAAAAAAACTTTTATTATTATTTAAAATTAGTTTATTTTTATTTTTTTGGCATTCAGTTTTTTCTTAAAGGTGATTTGCTACTGTATAACTGGCATTATTTTAAAATCAGTATACATTAAAAGAATATACATTTATTATAAATACACTTTATATAAAATATAGATTTTAAGTTTATTTATTAAGCTAAACTTGTTAAAAAGTTTATTAGAATTGTCATAAACTACGATCCAAAATCGTAATGAGTCTAAAAATGGACTTCTAAAACGTAAACTATGTTTTATATTACCTGCTTTATATTTTGGGGTGAAGTGTGACCAGGATCTGGTTTTGGTGAGATTCACACACTGACTGCGGTGTCACGTGTGTGTGTGTGTGTGTGTGTGTGTGTGTGTGTGTGTGTGAGTGTGTGTGTGTGTGTGTGTGTGTGTGTGTGTGTGCATGTCCATTGCCTGTCTGCACCTGCTGTCTGGTCTAGTACACTGTGCAGTGCCAGATCAGTGCTGTGTGAGAATAAGACCAGCAGTGTTTATGTGGATGAGTACGTGTTGGCTCTGATTCTGTCCTCTTCACATCCGTTCCCTCCACTCCTCCAGCACCTGACTGCCAACTCACTTCAGTCTCTATGAAGACATGTTGTGATGGATCCGTGTCAATATCGGGATTCTGATAGCACCTGGTTTGATACATCCTTTAACATTCCCAGTTATTTAAGCCTCTAAATGTGTGTGTGTTGTGTGCCGTTATAACCGATCTTCAGGCAGTTTCAGAGGATTTATGTATCACGTTGGACTTTTTTTTTTTTTTTTTGTAGGGAAAGTGTTGGACGTTATGTACACAGTTTTAATTTACTGCTTATCCAAAGAGCGGAACACTAAATCCTGTTCTCGTGTAATTCATCACCTTCAATCTGGTCCACTCAACCGGAAAAATCCAGCTTAAATTTGAGCTCAAGTAAACATCTTTTTTTTTAGTTACAGGTTAGATACAAAAGCACTGGCTGGCTTTCACTTAAGTTGTGATCGAAAACAAAATACCTGTTTAATGTATTGATTCTAAATGTCAATGCTTTAACACAACATCACTGTTGATTTAGTTTGAAATTAGTATTTTAGACCAACATTGATCTTGTTTGCTATAGGTTTTCAGTAACAGCTTGAGTCTTGACACGAAAATACAATGCATGCCCTATTTTGTTTTCCGTAATAATTACATAAACTACATGTTTGAAGAGGAAAAGCTCTTCTGAAGTTCAGCAGGGACTGGTTAGGATAGGAAGTGCTTCACTGTGGACTGGCTTTAAAAATATAACCATTAATAACTTAAGAGTGATTAAAGTTTAATATAGCCAAGACACCACAACACAGACCAAGAGGCACTTTCCTGTGCTATTGCCTACATTACACCTGTACTGCTGATAAACAAACTGCTGATGTATTTGTGTATTATGTATAGTCTATAGATAATTATAATAACTATTTTATTATTAAATCAAGTCATTTAAAATAACAAACGTACTCTACAACCAGGGGGCTGTTCCATAAATGAAGCTTAGAAAAGCGGGGATTAAACTCCAAAACCGGACTTGAATGAGCCTAACAAATAAGTTGGGGCTAAAGTGGTTCCATAAAAGGTAATTGAAGTTCACGCAATCTCACTAATTTGATCCAGGTTTATCTAGTCTAGATAATTGCGTGTGCACGCGTTTCTGAAGCAGCCCTAGAGGTCGATCGTGGATCAAATCGATCCACCACCAAACAGCGTATATTTTGTGCTGTTTTATGCGTTTGTGACATGTTTTTTTTTTTTCCTCAGTGCAAAAATGACATTTTACAGTTATATTCTCCATCTGTAAATGTTAGAAAGTAGTGCAAATGTATCCATTTTGCTGCTAATCTTCATATTGAACGAGCGCTGCTGCGCGCATGCGCGCCAAATAGGAGCGCAATAATTCTGACTAAAATATACATTTTGCTTGGAAAATTAATATGCGATACTTTATAACACTAGAAATATCTTCTAATTATAATAATTTCTCTTTAGGATGTTGGATAAGTTGCAGTGAACTTCTAGCTCATTACACTCATATATTTTATACTTCTAATAAAAAAAAAGAAATTGAACAGAAGTAGCCTAATTCAGGGAAGATTTTTTTAAAGAAACTAAATATATAAAGATACAAAATATAGTTTTGGGTATAGGACCTATGCTACTTTATAAAGATGATATATATAGCCTACTTATTTAGAATGCTGAGAATTACAGCTTTTTATGCAATAATTTTTTTGAGAAAGCAAGAATCCCCAGTTTTAAGTTTAGTGGTTTAGATTTAGTTTCTAAAGTACATTATGGAGAGGATAACATTAAATTAAGAACAAATGTATACATTTTGAAAAGATATGTGCAACTCTAAAATCAAAGAATATTCCATAAAATAAAGGAATAGCCTATATATTGGCCTACATTAACTACATTTTTATGTAACCTTCCCTTTTATTTCTAGTTATTTGTTATTTCTTTACTTATTTAATATTGAATATTTGATATTTAAATAATATTACTTGAATAACTATTGGGAATTATGTGTCATTCATTATAAGAGTTTGATATATGTGAATGTTATATTTTTATTAATATTTATTTATTGTTTTATTTATATATATATATATATATGTTGGTATTATCACAAAAGAAAAAAAAGTAGAAGGAAAAATAAGGAATATTTATTGGGGGAAAATATGATGTCTTTAAAGGAACTGTCCATTTGTATAATTTTGTTAAATGTGTTTGAATTGAAAGACATAATAAAGTACATTTTATATATATATATACATTTTATATCTAGACAGCGTAGAGAAAGAATTCTCTGATAACCGAGGCACTCCTTAATTAAAATGTCTTTATTACAAAAATGACATGTCCTAAACTTTAAAACGCCTTATATATGTGTCTATATTGTCTATATTGTAGCCTTATTTAAGTTGATTTTCTGTATACTGTGTATTTATAAAGTCCAATAATGGTATTAGAGACTGTCAGTGGTAATATCATTGTGTTCTTGTCGGTCAGTGTTGAGGATCTGTGTAACAACTGAGGCTTAGCCTGACAGTTAGCCTGCCCTGGACCAGGCTAGTTTCCCAGCATAAGTTGCCAGGGTAACTGAGTTTGAACTTTTTTAAGTTTGATTTATGAAACCGAATCTACCAAAAATAAGCCTGACTAACCGAAATAAGCCTGGCTTATACTCTAATCTTGGTTTATGGAAC